TTCACATTTGCAATGCACGTTGTGTTTGAGGAAGGGCATTGAAAACATGATTTTAAAAATCTTGAACTTGACTACTTGGGTCAGAGATCAAATCTGCCATGTACTACGGAATACTGTAATTTTAATTTCAGTAGTTTGTAGAATAAGAGGTACTTCTAATCAGATTGAGGTACAATCGATTTTGACGAGCAATCTGCAAACTTCCATCTACCTAACTATGTACTCAGGAGTCGCCGAAATCGAAGCTGGCTTTGGTGCAAGTCCACTGACCATAGAGGGTGTGAAACCCGGTAATGCGAACGTACCCCGGGCTCTCAAAGCGCAGCAGAGTGCACGAAACTGCGCGACAGAATGTCCCCTCGCTCGTATCCCCACAGTTCAAAACGATACGAGGCTTTGCGGGCAATGAATGACGGCGGGGGAACGATGGAAGACCGATGATACGACCGGGACAAGGGATGGTGAGGAAACACTGACAGACAGGTCCTCCGGGGATCAGGGTTGAAGATAAACCTGGAAGGCAAACTAAATAAACGTCATGAACCAAAAAGACCCAGTGAGACGTACGCACTTACAATATTACTGGTTGCCATGCCTTACACCAGAATGGCGGGCGAGTGTGTTAACACTGCGTATACTGGCGCATTTAGAAGCTGACCAGAATCAAAGAATTCGGATGTTATGAATTATTGGCTTGATAAATGGAACTGAAATATTGTGGATACATTGTTGACTCTGCTTAAAGACCGCATTCCTGATCAGGTCTTCTAGACTGATTTGAGCAGGTAACCCAACTAAACAAACTTTTAATTTTGGGTTTCACGTACCACTACTCATGAGTAGTAATACGAAATCAGTACTATAGTCCGGAATATTTATCCTGATTCTCGGCACAACACTTGTTCGGGTAATCACGTGAACAGATAAAGGTTTTGATTGCTAGTTACAATGAACCGAAACTGAGACATTGTCTTTTCCTGTCTAAAATCGCATACTATACAATGTGTACTTGAAGTTAGGAGTGTGCATCAACACTGTTTCATGACAAAACTATTATAATTATATTGTATTCAAGATCATGGAAGAAACCATTCGGTTTGATGTCAGAAGACTGACAAACAGAGATGATTTGATCTAAGTGGCATTGGTTTCGTAATTGACCGTCNTCGTAATTGACCGTCGGTTCTTTTTGCAGTGGTGTTCAATTGTGTACAGATAATTTTAAAACAAACCTTTTTATACGAAGAACATAATATTGCATACGAGCACGATTTAATTGGGGAAGCATTTAGTTGCATCTGCGCTGGTACTTACTAAAGAATACAAAATAATTTACATATCATGAGTATTGATAATATAACAAAGTACCAATTCAAACTTCCGCTTACGTGGTTATCAGGGCAATGCCAGTCTGATGTAGTCCTCCTGCTGACACAGCAGGGCTTTCAGTGTTTGACTACTATGGCATCTGCAAATCTTAGCAGTCGTCCATTTGAGGTTGGGTTAACAACCCGAAAAGAAGTCCTGCCCTCAGCTTGGTGATTAATCTACAGATGGCGGGCCTTCGACGACGCAGGTGTTCTATGCGACTGACTTCAGGGACTGGTTGTGTAATCCCCAATCACAGTCCTCTCACGTTCGACTCATGCTACAATGTGTTCGGCTACTCGGGTACGCCGCCACCTCCTTGTTCTGGCCACATAGATGGCTCAATATCCACAGTGAAATTTGTAGATTACGTGGTGGCCGAGGGAGCAGTGGTTTCATCAAGGGCTTTGGAATATGGGGTTTTGTGAAGCGAACGATCAGAACTACTGTTTCTACCAGCTGTCTTACCATTTGAACGGAGTTTGAAATGAGAATGTGGCATTTTAATGCTAACATTCGCGAAGTCTTCGGTTTGGCTTTTACACTGTACCTTCGTATAAATTTTGCAAGGCAATCACTGAGCTTCAGAGCTCCCTTGAACCGAAATAGCTCATTTTTCACATTATTCGAGGTATACAGCCTCTTAGTTCGATCAAATAGGGTACCCAAAAGACTTACTTTGCAGTGGATTGAAGTAAAACTGCCAAAATGCACCTACTGATCGGTCCACATTAATTTCCGATGCAATGACTTCGAAATTGTACCGTCGGATCTTCCATCAGTAACAATGCATAGAAATGGGAGGTGTCATTACACATTGTAAGAGGAAACACACAGTAGCGAACAAGCTCGTTTGCGGTGATTCTCCTACAGGCTAATATCTCCCGATTTATTTCAAACTGTTCATTAATAGTTCTATCGTTTCCCACCTATTGGGGTCAAAAAGAGCAAACGAGCTTGTTTGCTTTGGCGTTTTTTTCTTAAAACGGGAGTGTATTGTTTTGATTCATTTCCATGTCCTTGTGAAGTAAAATGAGTTCAGCTAACAGCAACTCAATCTCTCTGACGCTTTGGGTGAATATCAACGTGTCATCGACGTATCTTCTGTACAACACAATGCCGTTGTAGTATTCGGAATAGGAATCGAAATTGAATAGCACGAACTCGGTATCGGACTGAAAACCCACTGCATAGCGCAAAGCCAGGTAGAACCAAAGCGAGCTGTGGATACAGTTAATTCTATTCAGAAAATCATGGAAATATATATTACAAGCAACAAACAATCATTGGGTCGATTCTTGAATGTCCAATCGACAAGGATATGGTTTATCTGTTTGCCTTCTTGCACTCAGCCAATCCGGATGATGCCAATTGAGACCACAGGGTTGGTCGGTTATCCCGCTTCTTGATTGGTTACCTGGACGCTGTACCGCGGTGCGTCCGTACTCGTTACACGATCACCACAGCCGTCCACTGTCCTACTGGTTTTGTTCTCTAGAATAGCTATGAACATAGCAGCTAGGATAAAATCCACCGAACCGCCCATGGCCGTAATATCGTCTTGTCTAAATTGCCGTTGTGTACAGAATTAGTTAATGTTTCAGGACAGAAAGCGGAATGCTCCACTCAATATTTTCTCCAACATATATTCACAAATAATTTGTATGGTTTCCACAACAGGCACATTAGTGAACAAGGAAACGAGATCGAAAGATGCCACATAGCAGTCATTTATGTTTATTTCCTTAAGAACCTTTAAAAATCGAAATTATCCTTCAAGGTGTACTTTGCAATCGATTTTTTTTTTACCGGTAGCAGGATTTTAACGAGCCACTCGGTTATGTTGCGTTGCGGAGAGGTGTATTGAATGGAAATTATTGGTTGACGTTGTTTACCAGGTTTATGCACTGTCGGCGGTGTCTGAATGCCGATTGATTTAAGTTTTATTGGGGCGGTTTCGCTGTTAAAGTCTACTTCCAGTAGCTAGTCGCCAGTAATTTGTCCGAATTATGATTTCGGCTGACAGAAACGCCCTACAACGAGTTAATCAAATGTAGGCGATCACCGTTGCTGGAACTTTTTCATACGGCCCTGAAATGAGACAGATTGGTATATTGAACGTGTACTGCGGAATTTGAAAATCATGTCATCGATAAATCCCATTTCATAAAGGTGATTTTTAATCACACAGTAAGAATAGACGCGATTGACGTTTTTGGTCAATTTCCGAGCTGGTTATTGTTTTTTTTCCCTTCCATCCTTGTTCCCACCCATGTATCACCCTCAGCCACACTTGCCCTACTGTCAAAGGTTGTTGTTGGGTATATCACAACGCTTGATAAGTTATACTAACCCGTTTGCCATACAATCTCTGACCAAAACACAAACTAGCAGATAATGGCACAATCTTCTATTCCTGAACTTTCTGGGCTCGGGTCATACATCGTCAATTAAGCATTGATTTCTCACATTCATCTCTTGCTGTGATACAAAACGTTTCTAATTTGGGATCAGTGTTTTCTGTTTTTATTACTGAAATTCCAAATTTGCCTATTTCTATTATCTGCTACTCTCGCCACCATGTACCGTACTTTCGGGATAGTTGTTCGAAGCCCTTTCATTCATGGAACAAACGCAAAGATGTTCAGGATTCACTTTCATGAAATAACTAAATGAAGATTTCCCTCGCCAGTGTTAGGTCAGATCATACTTAAACCAAACTTCCGGAAAACTTTCTTACCAATCACTGTTAGTCAGTTATTTATGATCACGGTAAATGTCGAAATCAGTGTTCAAATTAGATCCCAATAGATTTCTGACGACCAGACAAACGTCATCGAAGAGGCTCAACTTTCCCCACCACACAAACCCCACCGCACACACATACTGTGCGCCCAGGTTAGACTGTATCGGATAACAGAGTTGGAATTTCCATCCCAAATCTGATATGGGTAAATTACAACAGTGTCTATGGGGTCGGATTATCACAACAACGTTTTCTTCTGCTCACAACACACAAACAAATGCAAAACGATCCATCGACTTGTTTTCGACTTTCTCACCTCATCAGTCATTAGCTGTGTGCATCTGAGCACACTAGCAGGAATTGTAGCTTCCTTACAAAACTGGAGCGCGGGAGAATCGATTTTCAGGCACAACTTTACATCACAACTCAAACAACCGTATCCGGTGTCAGGTCATGCAATGAGATTGTGGGCAGAGTCCGTCAGTTGACATCTTCACTAACATGCTATGTCATGCTATGCTGTGTATGCACACACACGTTGGAAGAAAGTAAAATGCCAACAAAGGTCATTCATTCAACCACTAATGTGATCCACTTAGGAACAGATAATCTATCAACAACAGTGGATCGATACATCTATAGTCGATCACCGGATTCCATAAAAGAACATTACACGAGTACGCACGCACGCATGCACACGCACACACCCTCAAACAAAAGCACAAAGCACACACCAACCAGGCCAATTATACCTCTTGGTGTAGAGTAGATGAGAGCTGATATCACAATGCATAAGGCATATATAAACTGGAGACTGGTCACAATTTCAATACACTGTTTGTTTAACTCGTCCAGACCGGTGTCCAGGATATCCTCTGACTGAAAAATGGTAAGCACTTTAGCTGACACAGTTTGCATTTATCAATTTCCGTCTCGAATAGCGTGAATGCATCAGCGTACATGTCGGCCAAGCCGGAGTACAAATGGGCAATTCGTGCTGGGAACTCTACTGTTTAGAACATGGAATTCAACCTGACGGACAAATGATAGACGATAAGACCGACGGTCTTGCAGATGGCTCTTTCAGTACTTTCTTCAGTGAGACCGGTTCTGGGAAACACGTCCCACGTGCAATCTTCCTTGATCTCGAACCAACCGTCGTCGACGAGGTCCGCACGGGAACTTACCGTCAATTGTACCATCCGGAACAGTTGATCAGTGGGAAGGAAGATGCTGCGAACAATTATGCGCGAGGTCATTACACAATCGGACGTGAATTTATCGACGCGTTTCTCGATCGCACGCGGAAATTGGCTGATTCGTGTAGTGGACTGCAAGGTTTCCTGATTTTCCACTCGTTCGGTGGAGGTACCGGATCTGGTTTCACTTCATTGTTGATGGAAAAGTTGAGTGTAGAATATGGAAAGAAGTCGAAGCTTGAGTTCGCTGTCTATCCGGCTCCTCAAGTGGCCACAGCGATGGTGGAGCCGTATAACTCGATTTTGACCACACATACCACATTGGAACATTCGGATTGCGCGTTCATGGTTGACAACGAAGCCATCTACGATATTTGCAAGTAAGTATGACTGAATGTAATAAAATTCATCCTCATTTTATCTAGGCGCAAGCTTGGTATCGCCCTGCCCTCCTACACGAACCTCAATCGCATTATTGCTCAAGTGGTCAGTTCAATCACTGCATCGCTGCGTTTCAATGGTTCTTTGAACGTGGATTTGAATGAATTTCAGACCAACTTGGTCCCGTATCCGCGAATCCACTTCCCTCTGGCCACATTCGCGCCGATTATCAGCACCGAAAAGGCTAGTCACGAACAATTAAGTGTCTCAGAGATCACGCACGCATGTTTCGAACCGGCTAATCAAATGGTCAAATGTGATCCTCGCAAAGGAAAATACATGGCGTGTTGCCTGCTCTATCGGGGTGATGTCGTATCCAAAGATGTCACCGATGTAATCTCAATCATCAAGAATAAGGGCACGGTCAACTTCGTCGAATGGTGTCCGACCGGTTTCAAAGTTGGCATAAACAGTCAACCACCGTCTGATGTGCCCGGCGGTGGTATGGCCAAGGTGAAACGTGCCTTGTGTATGCTGAGCAGCACAACAGCGATTCGAGAAGCTTGGCAACGACTGAATGCCAAATTTGATTTGATGTATGCCAAACGTGCATTCGTGCATTGGTATGTTGGTGAGGGTATGGAGGAAGGCGAGTTTCTGGAAGCGCGTGAAGACTTGGCCTCGTTAGAGAAGGACTACGAAGAGGTGGAACAAGACACTTCCCAAATGCATGACGAAAATGACGACGAAGACTATTGAGTTCCACACTAATCATAGCGATCAATTGTGTTTGAATCAAATAAATTGTTTTTTTGTCAATGAAGTTACAATTCGCTAGACTGATGGTTAAACGGAGCTGGTAAATTCAAATAGATCAATTAAATTGAATGTGACAAATGGAATTGATGTGCAGGATGAACTGATGATATTTGGGTCTTGGTTTTACAATATGTTCATTTGAGTTACTTTCATTGTGAACTTGGAATGCGTTGTAATTAGTGTTATAATGTTCTGGGAGAACTAATAGAATTTGTCTTCACTGAAATCTCGGTGTCCGATAGGTAACTTTTTCTTTGGCTTTTCTCTGGCAAACACAGTTGTTTACGACACGCGCTTTTGTAGGGCACTCCCTGTGTAACTGGATCTATGCAAAAATCAAATGTTTTCGAAGTATTAAAATCCGGTGGTGTGTTTGAAAAAGGCGCAATAGAAGACATGTGGCGAGAGGAAGTCTTTGCATACATTTTTATCGGTCGTGAGCGTGTAACATAAAGGCGATAAATGACGAAATAAAGATGACAAGCAATTCGAGTGAAAATTTAGCTAGAAAGGAAACTGCACTCCACAGATGACAGTCAATGCAAATTAGCAGATAATGTTAATTGATCTTAGAAGCACAGGTGGGTGTGCGATGAAGGCTCCACTGTCGGTAAACGATGTAGGTCGCGACGACATAACGTGACGCATTGATTGGGTTGATCCTGTGACCGCTGATAAATACGCGGTGAGCAATCACACCAGCCGGCCTACGTGTCACGTGTACGCTCGGTTGATGAGACTGAGTCATCGCATTTAGCACGCATTGTGGGATGTATAAAGTTATTCTTGTTTCCAACACCCCGTCACGTCTACTGATGCGTGCGTACATCTCTGCAACTACAGGAACAGCATCAGTGCATTGAGAGGTAGGAAGAACAGGAATGAGGTCCTTGAATGGTGGTGTCGAGTGGCATTGTGCGGTAGGATAGAGATATTGTGGCGCAGTATAGAAAATCGTTCAAAGATAAGCTTTACTGTAAGCTGCATAAAAGGATCTCGCACTGGTTCTTCGAATCACTATCAAATGATGTTGATCATATGGAGAGATGAAAATGAATAAGCGGTCAAAATTTGAACATTTCATGTCGTACACTTTGTGACACGATGCATGTTTATTGCATAGCAAAGAACAGAATTCACAGGATTAGGTTGATGAGAGATGCCCTGTGGTTTCTCAACAGTACGAGGACTCTCGCGGAATTAAAGGAAACTATGAAAGATGGTTTTCAATCCCCGAGAACCGTACTAGTACGTATACCCTTTTATCATTAGGTATGACACATCTTTGTCACTGTCCAACAAGATACAAATCTCTACTAGACAGAGTATGTTTTGTACTTTTATAACTTGTGTAGGCTTATAAGTTTACATTTCAGTTTAAAAAATGTACATTGGTTGTCACACAGAATAATATATATGGTTTCATATAACATGCAAGGTGAGGAATGTTGCTGAAATTTATTTCATGTAGACACATTCCGACGCCATTCCCTTGCGACCTGTTTCTTGTTGGTTAGGAATCGAATCATGTAGGGTACAGGGTAATTCTTATGAATTTTATTTCGACGGGGCAGATACCGAAAAGGGGAGTGTGTGGATAGATGGAAGCGACAAAATGGCAGATCGGGATGTGGTGTTCGGAATTGCCCGAGTTTGCGTAATTGGAAAGAGGGGCGTCTCAGTTTTTCCATAGGATTGTAAATTGGTACTGACCGCTGCCGGTGGTGATAAACAGGTACTTGACCGAGGTCATTCGGGACAAGTTTACAGTTAAGGGTAGCAGAGTTGGTTGGAAAAGAGTAGCGGGAAAAACTGAAGACATTCTAAGCAATTAGATGTGTTAAGAATAAGACCATTTTGGTTTTGGAAAACTGTCGGATGTGAGATAGATTTTCAGTAAATAAATTAACTTCCAATGGAGAGGAGATTGTCTGACACAATACAACGACGCCAAAATATTTTTGAGTGTGTGCAAGGGGTGGGACCGATAGACCATTAATGAAAGCAGAAAAGGAATATGGGGTTAGAACAGCTCCTTAAAGCACACCAGAATTATTGACTGGAGGTTTTGATGTCGTTCTTCTCAATTTGGCATACTGCACCCTGACTGTGAAGTACTCAGAAAACCATGAGGGCAGCTGTCTCAGAGCGGCAAAAGATTCAAGTTTGAAAAGAAGGAATGATCAGGAAACAGAATCAAACGCAGACAAATAGTCAAGAAGAACACAGCGGACAGACTTGGCCGAATTGTTCAATGACTAGCCGATAAAATGCATTAGATTGGATACGGCGTTCAGTGCAGATTTGTTTGGTTTATATACCAACTGGACAGGGTCATAGGGGATTGTGATACTTGACTGCAAACGATTCAGGATGACCTTTTCAGTCAACTTTAGAGCTACAGAGGTCAGCGCGATAGAACAAAACCGTATCTAGAGAACAATTGAGTATGAGGACTTGGGGGTTAAAATAATAGTAACTTTACGTCAAGAATCAGGATTCAACCGAGAACACAGGGACTCATTAGCGATGAATTTCATCATATTGGCCAGAGAAGCTGATCCGAATTCGACACGTGCCGGAGGAAGACCATAAAGGCAACTAGGAATGCTTTTGAGGATTGTAGAAGCTTACAGATTTCATCACTGGAGCTGGAATCATTGCACGGGAAGGAAGGAAACTGGCGCTCGTTTTACGGGTGGATGAAAGCGTCTTTGAGTCATTTGACGTCCACCGGAGTATTCGAGTGATTTCTGTTCTGCCCACAGAGAAGGCGAATAATTTGCCATAAAATCCTTGTGTTCTTTGTTCGCAGAATTAGGGCGGCAAATATTACATTCAGATGCGTTATCTGAGACCTGATTAAATCAGGATAGTGCTTTACAATTGATGCATGACGAAATTTTAGACCCTTCTTTGGGCCCTCTGAGTGGTTTCAAAAAGGGTTTTCATGATGCAACATAAGTTAAACGTTTCAGAAGACAGAATGACATTTAGGAAGCGATGGACACGAATCAAACTAGGAATGAACAATTGCAATAGAACGACAGAGAGATGCTGCTGGGTGAAAAGTCCCTCAGATGAAATTATATCTGATTAGAATGTATGAATGTTTGATGGCCAGTGCAAGAGTACATCATTGGTCTAAAAAGAAGAATACAATAGTCACGGGTAGCAGCTGGGGCCGTCAGTTTGAGAGACAGAAGAAGTTGGCATGGTTTGTGATCGGCCTATCGAGCACAGAACCGCCTCTGGTAGGAGGATGAGAGATTGGTCAGATACACCATACAGAAGCAGAGGGAAATACTTGAATGACTGAAATCATCCACATATAAGTGAAGATTTCCATCTGAAACTACAACTAGATTGGAATCAAAGAAAGTAGAGATTTTAGTCTGAGAACACGAAGAATATATATATATATATATACATTACTGATGGTTGTACATGTGCAATAGAAAAATTCGGGATGTCAACGAAAAATGTAATTTTCAGGATAGTTATATATCACTTTTGAATTGCCGCACACGGGAACATTGATGCAGGTTACCACACCACCTCCAGCTATTTTCTCACTTCGCCGCCTATCCTTCCGGTAGCAGTCAAAGCTATCTATTCGCACAAGCACGTCCTCAAAGTTTTGATGCAACCAAGTTTCTTGCATACATACAACAAATGTGTTGGAATTAATGCGTGAGTTCAGGATGGAGGTTCAACCCGAGAGTCTCACGAATAGCAAGCGAACGTTAGTGCTGACCAATGACGGCACAGTAGTCTTGGTAAGAGGGTTGCAAGTAGGTGCAGTCTACCATCCGGCTCAAACGCGGTACGATACTAAGCTCACGACATGGTTTGGCATTCTTATTTGAGCGATCAGGTCCAGTCATCGCGCAACCTCATGCAGACTGGAACTTAATTCCCAACCGCCATCCACCAGGATAGACTCACATACCCAGTGATTCATTGGGCTGTCCATCACAGAAACGGAAATTCCACATACTCACTAGGACTAAGAAAATAAAGTCCTTTGAGTACCCCAAGCAATAGTTAATTCGACTTAGCATCCATTCCATTGATAGAGAACAGAACGCTAGACTTGTGATTACTGCACCTAAGCCGTTTGTCAACAACTCCGGAGTTTTTTAAGGAGCTGTGCCATTCCGCTCCATTAGCAGACAAATAAAACAGTGTTGCTGGAGATTCTGGAATGGAGGTACAATGTCTTTATAGAATGGCAGAGAGTCAAAACCTAAATACAAGTCTACTCAAGTTCCAAGTAGTTCTATACATCCTGATAAGCCAAGTGTCAGCACTTAAAAGACCTGAAATGTTAATGCAAATATGCACGAGCAGTGTTTGTTTTCCCTTTCGGAACAAAGTAGATCACTGAATTTAAATCAGAGTACTCTATGGGCAGATCTGAATACCCTGGCTCAGTGGACACACACTTGGGTAGTTCCAGTCAACACCGTCGGGTAGGCCTACCTGCACACAGGGCATGCTGGTTCAGAGGTGCTATACAGCTTCCAATGAAGATAGAGTAATCTCAAGTCTAGCGTTCTGTTCTCTATCAATGGAATGGATGCTAAGTCAAATTAACTATTGCTTGGGGTAATCAAAGGACTTTATTTTCTGTAAAAACTTTGATTGAAGAATGGAATCGAATGCTGGGAAATAGTCAAGAAAAATGCACAGAACATACTTAGCACAGCTATTCAAATATTTTGTGATAAAATGAATAATGCTGGTGTCTGCGTCCGGAGAGAATTGTTTAGGCACGCAAGCAAACGGATAATTGGGAATTTTTATGCACTGCTAAAGGCGTTTGAAGTAAGTAGCCTTTCCAGTCAACTGACCATTGTGTTCTTCTGGTTGGACCAAAAATATACGCCAGCACTGTTTATCAAACATTCATAAGTACTACTCAGATAAAATTTCAT